GGGCGTCAGATCCCCTGGAACTGGAGTTACAGACAATTGTGAGCTGCCGTGTGGGTGCTGGGAATTGAACCCCTGTCCCCTGGCGGAGCAGCCAGTGCTCCTAAGTGCTGAGTCATCTCTTTGTGTGTTTCTGTGTTACATGTTTTCATTTCTTTTGGGTGTGTTCTCAGAGGTAGAGCTGCTAAGGCAATTTTTGTTAAGCCTTTTGAGAAACTGCCAGACTGTCTTCCAAAAGCAATCCCGACATTTACCTTCCCATTAGCAGTGTACGATGGCTTTAATTTCTCCACCTCCTCGATAGCACTTGTTACTATGGGTCTTTTTTTATTATAGCCATCTTAGTTATTTGAGATGGTATCTCATTTTTTTTTTTGTTGTTGTTGTTTGTTTTTTCTGAGTCAGGGTTTCTCTGTATAGCTTTGGAGCCTGTTCTGGATCTCGCTCTATAGACCAGGCTGGCCTCGAACTCACAGAGATCCGCCTGGCTCTGCTTCCCGAGTGCTGGAATTAAAGGCGTGCACCATTGCCACCTGGCCTGGTATCTCATTGTTTTAATGTTTTTGATTGCATTTGTTTATTGAGGGGAAGAAGGCTTTGCATGTGGAGGGCATAGGACAACTTGTATGACTTGGTTCTCTCTTCCATTATATGGAAACTAGGCAGCAAACGTAGGTGGTCAAACTTGATGCTGAGTGCCTTTACCCTCTGAGCCATCTCACCGACCTTTATGATGGTTTTGATTTCCATTTTTCTTTTTCTTTTTTTTCTTTTTTCTTTTCTTTTCTTTTATTTTTTTGAGCTGAAGATCGAACCCAGGGCCTTGCGCTTGCTAGGCAAGCGCTCTACCACTGAGCTAAATCCCCAACTCGATTTCCATTTTTCTAAAGCTGATAATGTTTTTTCAAGTGCCCATTGGTTATCTGTGGTTTTTAAAGGAATGTCTTCAAACCCTTTGTGTTTCTGTGTTTCTGGCAATCAACAAGTTCCTCCCGTCTCTGCCTCCCACACTGCTAGGGTTACATGTCCAGCTTTTTGCATGGGTTCTGGGGATTTGAACTCAGGTACTCATGATTGTACAGCAGGCACTAAGCCATTTCCCCTCCCTCCTTTTTTCTTTCATTTCTTAAGATGTGTATCTAGGCTGGCCTTGAACCCACTAAGTAACCAACACTGGCCCTCAGCTCTTGACCCTCCTGCTTCCACTTCCAGAGTGCTGGAATTGCAGGTGTGTCCCACGAGGCCTGCTTTCTTTTTAATATTTCTATCAGCACATTATTGTACATATTTATGGGGTACAGGTTGTACTTTAATATATATATTATACAATGATAAAATCGGGGTTATTAGCATATTTTTCACATGCAACATTCCTCATTTCTTTTTGCTGAAATCATTTGAAATCCTCCTCTTAGCTATTTGGAAATGTCTATTACATGATGTAACAAGGTGGTGGTGGCGCACACTTTTAATGCTGGCACTTGGGAGGCAGAGGCAGGTGGATCTCTGAGTTCGAGGCCAGCCTGGTCTACAGATCAAATTCTAGGACAACCAGAGCTACACAGAGAAACCCAGTTTCAAACCAAACCAAACAACAACGTCAAAACAAAAACATAATCATAATACATAATAATCTATTACATAGTCTGTTAACTGTGGTCCATAACTGTGTGAGTAGAACACCAGAGCTTAATCCTCCTGTAACTGTAAGCTAGCCTTTGTACCCACTGTCTAATCTCTGTTCTTCTTCCTTCAGTTTTCCTAATCTTTAGTAACTACTGTTCTATTTCCTACTTCTATGAGAACAGCTCTCCTTTTTAAAAAGATTTATTTAATTTTTATTTATTTTTGTTTTTTCAAGACAGGATTTCTCTGCATAGTCCTAGAACTCACTCTGTAGATCATGCTGGCCTGGAACTTACAGAGATCCCCTGCCTCTGCATCGTGCGTGCGTGCGTGCGTGCGTGTGTGCGTGTGTGTGTGTGTGTGTGTGTGTGTGTGTGCATGTGGTACCCAAGAAGGCCAGAAGAGGGTCCAGGATGCCCTAGTGCTAGAGTTACAGGAAGTTGTGAGCTGTGCAATGTGAATTCAGGTTTTCCGGAATCTCAGGCTGGGCTCTGAACTGCTGCGGCATCTCGCTCGCCCAAGGACAGCTCTTCAGGTTCCATATTTTAAATGAGATCATGTGGTTTTGTCTTTCTATCCGTGTAGTGACAAAGACAGGGTGTCACCTTTTCATGATATTTTACTGAGTATATAACTGGGTTTTCTTTATCCATTCTGCAGATGGCTCTTTAAACAATGCTGTAATAAACATGGAGTGCAGATAACTCCTGACATGCTGGTTTCAATTCCATTGAACATTTACTTTATTTTAATATAGTTACCCTTTTTTTTATATGCATTGGTGTGAAGGCATCAGATCCCCTGGAACTGACGTTATAGATAGTTGTGAGCTGCCATGTGGGTGCTGGGAATTGAACCCTGATCCTCTGGAAGAGCAGCCAGTGGTGCTCTTAACCACTGAGCCATTTATTTGTGTGGAACAAATAACCACTGGAACATTTATTTGTGTGTGTGTGTGTGTGTGTGTGTGTGTGTGTGTGTGTGTGTGGTATTTATATGGGCACGTGTGCCACATTCCTGTAGAGGTCAGAGGGTGACTTGTGGGAGTTGGTTTCCTCCTTCTGCCTTGTGGGTCTTGTCCTGAGGCTGTGGACTGAACTCAGGACGTCAGGCTTGTAGCATGAACGTTCACCTGCTCAGCTGTCTCCCCAGCCTCTTTCATTTTTTTTAATTTATTTTTATTTTATGGTATAGGTGTTTTGCCTGCATGTATGTGTGTGCTATATTTTCATGCCTGGTGCCCATGGAGGCCAGAAGCGTGTGTCGCATCCCCTGAAGTGGGAGTTGCAGACAGTAGTGAGCTGCCTTGTGGGTGTTTGGGGTCTGACCTGGGTGGGTCCTTTGAAGCAGCTGGGCTCTTAACTCTTGCTCCATCTCTCCAATTAAATTCATTTGAGGAACTTGCATATTGTATTTTTTCCCCATTTCTGCTCCTCCTTTGTCTTATGGACAGTCTCCTGTAGCCTAGGCTGACCTTGAATTTGCAGATAACCTTGAACTTCTGATCCTCTGCCTCTACTTCTGGGAGTGCTCGGATTACAGGTTTGTGGTTCATGTGGTGCTGGTGATGGAACCCAGGCCTGACCTATGCTAGGCAAGCACTCTATCAACTGAGCTCCATCCCCTAGCCCCAGAAGTAACCAGATTTTGCAGGGAATGGTGACATGTGGCCTTAATCAGATCTCCTTAAAGTCAGAAAGCTCACTCCTGTTTTCCAGTCAGGGAACCTGGTAGAGTGGGAGCCCAGTGTTCCAGTCCCTATCTCACTTTGACCTCCTGAGGGCTCTGTGGCCTGGGAGCAGATCACTCCCACTCCTACGCCTTGGATTTTTTCATCTGCATTGGACTGCTACTTCCAGGACTGGTGTGGAACATCCGTGTATCAGCGTTCAGGGGACTGGTGTGAAACATCTGTGTATCAGCATTCAGGGGACTAGTGTGGAACATTCATGTACCAGCATTCAGGGGACTGTGGGAGCCCACTTTCGGGTTCCTCGTGGCTTTACCCAGCAGGTACACATAGAGGATGATTAGGACGACGGGCCTGAGTGCAGGTGTCTGGGATGGTCTGCACTTGGCTGTGCTGGGGGAGGAGGTCTTTTGCTCCACCCCTTGGCGTCTCTATAAAAACCCTGAGGCAGAGACAGTCAGGGCCTGTTGGAAAAGGTTCCAGGTCCTCTCGAGGCTATCCTTTATTTTCTATCTGTTTATCTCCGCAATAAATCCTTCTATCTAATATTTCCTGCTGCTCGCAGTCAAGAAAACTCTGGGGAGCTGTGGGGTTGGTGGGTAAAAAACGCCCCACAGGGGACTAGTGTGAAACATCTGTGTATCAACGTTCAAGGGGCTGGTGTGGAACATCTGTGTATCAGCGTTCAAGGGGCTGGTGTGAAACATCTGTGTATCAGCGTTCAAGGGGCTGGTGTGGAACATCCATGTATCAGCATTCAGGGGACTGATGTGAAACATCTGTGTATCAACGTTCAAGGGGCTGGTGTGGAACATCTGTGTATCAGCGTTCAAGGGGCTGGTGTGAAACATCTGTGTATCAGCGTTCAAGGGGCTGGTGTGGAACATCCATGTATCAGCATTCAGGGGACTGATGTGAAACATCTGTGTATCAACGTTCAAGGGGCTGGTGTGGAACATCCATGTATCAGCATTCAGGGGACTGGTGTGGAACATCCATGCATCAGCATTCAGGGGACTGATGTGAAACATCGGGGTATCAGCATTCAGGGGGCTGGTGTGGAACATCCGTGTATCAGCACTCAACACTGCCCACACTCTCCAGACAGGACCGACTTGCTGATGTGGGGCAAGTTTCAGACAGTTGTGCTGTGTCTGTTAATTTTGGTGGAGAAGAGGAGAAAGTAGGGAGAAGGAGATGAGAGGGAAAGATGGGGTCCTGAGGAAGCACAGGAGGGGTGAAGGACATGAAGGCGGAGTGGCTGGCAGGGCCAAGGACAGGAAGGAGTCTGACCTCACTTCCCTCGGTTGGGCAGCTAGGAAAAGCCCTCCTTCCCAGGAGCACTTCTCAGGCCATCCAGTCAGAGAGGCAGGTAGAGAGACTAGGTGTGTAAGGTGAAGAAACAGCCTCCTGAAGGCCGCAATTCTCACCTACCTCATAACCTCTCCACCCCTCACCCCCACTGCCAGTAGCTTGGATGCTCATTCCTCAGGCTCAAGGGCTGAGGCACTGTCTTCTGTTCCCTCGGGGCCTGGGCGGCTGGACTGCAAACGGGAGCCAGTGTGCAGGAGTGGGTTCCCTGGTCTTGGTGATCTCCCCCCTCCCCCCACACCGCTCCTTCACTCCGCCCCCAACCCCACCCGCCCCAGACAGGGTTTCTCTGTGTAACAGCCCTTGCTGTCTTGGAACTTGCTTTGTGGACCAGGCTGCCTCTGCCTCCCCAGTGCTGGGATTAAAGGTGAGCCACCAACCTGGCTCTGCGCCCCTCTAACAAATACATGGCAACCTGGTCTTTCATGAGTAGAACGCAGTTCATACATGACAGCCTATGGATACACTTCCAATTTGGGGTGTGGCGTTGGAGGAGGCAAGGTCGCAGGTGGTCCCACAACTCTGATCCTTCTGCCTCCACTTCCCCAGCTACTAGGATCTCAGGCCTATGTCACCACACCGGCTCAATAAGGAGTGGGGGTGGGGGGCGGTGAGAACGGAGAAGAGGAAGAAGAGGAGAGGGTGGAGGAGAAGAAATTAAGGTCTTAACTGAAATGTAAAGAAATACTGGAAAGTAATGACAGTGTCCCTCTGTCTCAGACTTGTATGTACTCGGGTTGACTTTTGTCACATGCATGCCTAAAAGTCACATGGGGGCCGATTGATGCCGATTCTGAAGTTATCCGCCAGCGGAGGGAGCTGAGAGTACATTTCCACTCGCAGCTGCCCAGCAGCTGCTCCGCTAGCTGGAGGCAGAGCCACTTCCCCCACCGACCTCGTCCCCCCACCTCCTCCTCATCCCCCAGCCCCGCTGCAGCTGTGGGTGACCACGGCACTCAGTCCCCGGTAAGGCCCGCGGGCCAGAGCCGTCCCCTCCCACAGTGAGGGGCAGTGTCGCCCTGGGCCCGCCCTGCCGCGCCAGCCTCATTCCCCGCACCTACATGGCTGGGCACCAGCTGCAGACACAGCAGTTCCCACGGGATTCGTGGGTCCTAGGAACGCACCGCAGGCAAGGGAGGGAGGCCCGGGCATTGACGTCAGAGGGGCGGGGCCTCGGCGCCCCACCCAACCGCTCCCCTCCTGCCTGGTCCCAGCTTGGGTAGGTGAATCCCGGTGGTGCTGGCGTGGATTCCCTTGGCTCCCTTCTCCCGTCTCCCTTTCCTCGCTCATCCTCTGCACTGTCTAGTCTTGGTCCCTGCAGCGGGGAGCCCGAGGAGACCCAGCTGTCACCCTCCTGATCTCCCTGCAGGAAGGTGGCCTCGGAGAGCTAGTGCTGGTCCTGGGGAGGGACGCGGGCGTCCTGGGGAGGCTCTGAGCGCGTCAGAGTGAGGCGGGAGAAGAATGATCCCCGCCCTGAGCTCTGCTGGAGGATGAAGCTTTCGCCCATACAACATCGCCAACTGTTGCTGTTCCCTGCCAGGAGAATTGCTCTACAGTTTACAAAGTGCTTGCTTGCTTGTTTGTTTTCGAGACAGGGTTTCTCTGTATAGCTTTGGCAAAGTGCTTGTGTTAATTATAAAAATGTTTGAGGGGGCTGAAGTGATGACTCAGTAGTTAAGAGATCTTTCTGAGGACCTGAGTCCAGTTCCCAGCATCCACAATAAGGGGCTCACAATCACCTCTAACTCCAGATTCAAGGCATCCAAGTCCTTCACAGGTATCTGCACACACATGCAAACACCCACACTCCCAACACAAATACGTATCATCTGAAAAAATAAAATACATCTTTGAAATGTTTTATTTAAAATACTTTGTTTTTTAAATTATATGTCTAAGCCAAGGGGTGGTGGCCACATCTTTAATCTCAGCTTGGGAGGCGGAGGCAGGTGGATCTCTGAGTTCAAGACCAGCTTGGTCTGCAGAGTGAGTTCCAGGGCAGCCAGCGGTACACAAAGAAACCCTGTCTTGAAAAACCAAATTAAGGGCTGGAGAGAAGGCTTAGAGGTTAAGAACACTGGCTACTCTTCCAGAGGTCCTGAGTTCAATTCCCAGCACCACATGGTGGTTCACAATCATCTATAATGAGATCTAGTGCCCTCTTCTGGTGTGCAGATATACATACATGCAGGCAGAACACTATACATAATAAATAAAAAAAAGATTCATTAAAAAAATAATAAAAGTTAATAATAATAAATCTTTTTAAAAGAAAATTATGTGCATGCATGATGGGTAAGCACTCTCCGTGGCTAGCGTGTGGAGGTCAGAGGATGGCTGTGCCGTTCGGCTCCATCTCTGTCTTTTCCAGCTGTGGAACTTGTGTCTTCGGGGCTGTGTAACATAGCGCGCGCTTCGCCCATTTTGCTGCCCCTCGGGCTTTCTTGCCCTCATCACATTTTGTCCTCACAGATTTGCTGTAACTGTCATTTGACAGACAACAAAGTTGAGGCAGACACACCGAGTATCCGAGCCGGGAAGTGGCTCCGGGATCGGAACCTCACATGCTGGGCTCTACCAAGATGTTTCCTGGGTGTCCTGCGCTTGCAGTTGGGGCTCTGATGGCCCAAGGCGATCTTTGGACGTCAGAGCTGGAGCACTGAGGGGAAGAGGTTGCTCTCGGGTCAGGTGAGGCACCACACCCTCTCAGACAGACTCTAGGTCACCGGTCTGTCTCCTACCAGCTCCCAGGGGGCAGTTTGGGTACAGGAGGTCAGGAGGTTAGGGTAAGAGTTCTTCAGATCAAAAGAGGAGCCTGACAGGGAGGGTGAGGAATCTAATGCCTCAGAAAATGGACTTGGCCTTTAGGCTTTATTTCCTAAGATAAAGATGTGTCACAAAGTAAGAAGGAGACGTAAGGGATTAATCGGTCCTTATTTGTTTGTTCATTCTGTGATGCTGGGGATCAAACCCAGGGCCTTAACACATGCTAGGCAGGCAAGCACTTGGCCACTAAACCACACCCCAAGGCAGGCAAGCATTTGGTCACTAAACCCACCCCAAGGCAGGCAAGCATTTGGTCACTAAACCACACCCCCAGCCCTTGTTCTTTGCAGACTTAGGTTACTCTGTAGCTCAGGCTAGTTTCTAACTACCAATCCTCCTGCCTCCATCTCCAAAGTACTGGGAGTACAGGTGTATGCCACCACAATGTTTTAATTGGCTTTAGTTTTCCGTGTTTGGTTTTGCAGACAAGAGACAGGCCTGAACTGCAGAGATGCTGAGCCAGCCACCCTTGGAGCTTGTTTGGGCTCATGGGCCAGGTTTTGTCATAATTGTAGAGTTGAGCTGGGGCATGCTTTAGGTTCAGATAGGTAGGAACATTTTCTCTGGACCCATCAGGTCCCAACCTGGAACCGAAGGGTCTAGGTCTGGGCTTCGGATGATCCCGGCTAACATGCTCAGGCTCAGAGACCAAGGTCAGGGTTCATCCTAGGATAAGGGAACAGGAAGACTCAACCTTGCTTGATCCCTCCCAGTCCAGATCCAGCCCGGGATTCCTGCTCAAGATTGAGTCAGGCAGTGGCCTGGAGCCCAGAGCCTTAGGCTCCTGGGCTGGAGAGCCAGCTCTTGGTGAATGGGCTGGAGGGCGGTGGGGGAGGGGTGGCTCAGCATGGGGGAGGGTTAGGACCCTTCTCCTCTCCATAAGCACCCACTCCAGAACATACCTGCCAGGACTCCATCCCCATTTGCTTTCCCACTCAAGGTGCTACTGCTTACAGAGACCGGTGAGATCGCTCCCGCTCGGCCTAGGGACAGCTGGCTGAGTGTGGGTCAGCTCTGCCATGGTCTGCGGTCTGCAGGGACTCTCTTCAGAGGCATGCATCCTGAGAAACCACTGGTTGAGGGCACTAACTGAAAGTCCCTGCCCTAGCTGATTTCTATCATCACATCCCAGCATGCCTCCTGTTGTGTCCCAAGGACAGCTCTGGGAGGGGCTGGGTCCCTTGGTGACCTGTCTGGTCAGGGTGCTCTTGCCCTGTGCATGTTCGTGGGAAGGTGGCTGTAACCACGTTACTAGGGCTTTAGTTGTTCTTATGGTTGTGGTACCTGAGGCTCTCCTTTCTGCTCTCAGTGACAGGAAGTGTCTCTGTTACTCAACTGACAATGTCCAGGCCAGTTGAGAGCCAGGTCACTTAGGCCCATGCTGTGTATCCAGATAAGACACTTGGCCTGATACAACCCTAATGATATTATCCATCTCTCCCCCGCCCCCCCCCCCCCCCACTCTGTGCAGTGATGTCCTGGCCTCCCGCCGCACTGAGGAGACAGGAGCCCACCTCAGGCTGCTCCCCTTGAATCCATGTTCTCTATTCCTGTCTTGTTCTTACCCAGTCATCCCCAAGGACGTGTCCTTTAGGACACCCTTCCTGGCTTCCAGTGGACAGGAGCAGAATGCTAGGTCTTTCACTGCCTGTCTTTTGTCCTTCTCTTCCCCCTGCTCCTGGCTTTTTATGCATTGAGTCTGCTGCTGTGTTTCCGATCTGCGGATACAGCAAGCTTGCTCCTGCTCTGGGGATTTGAGACACAGCTGCCCCCAGTTTCCCCACCTGTCTGGTTCCTCGTTCTCCCAACCTCCTTAGTTTAGAAAGGCCTTCCCAACCCCGCCCTCTCCGTAGGGCTCCCCAGCCCCTCCCACTTCAGTTACTGCTGGCTCAGTATCACTTCCTGTCCCGAGTCACACTGTCTGGTCCACTGTTTTTTTATTGCCTCTTTGGAGACAAGATCTACCTCTTTAGCCCAGGCTGACCTCCAGCCTCTGATTCTCCAGCTTCTGATCCTCCTGCCTCAGCTTTCTGAAGAGCTGCGATTCCAAGCCCAGCTGGTAGACAGGTATTTAATACAGAGAAGTAGGAATTCACACACAGCGGGAGAGGCTGAAGGAACCGGTCCTCCGGCAGTGAGCTATATCTAGATCACACAGTGCTGACCCACCAAGAGAGCCACGAGCAACACCAGAGCTCCGAGCTGACCCAGACACTTCTCTCCAGGACCCTGAAAGCTGGCACTCTGAGACCCCCACCACTGCTTTCCCTCTAAACCTGGAGTTGGGCAGGCAGGAAGCAGGAAACCTAAAATGCCACACTGATGTCACTAGTAACCGCCGGGTGGCTCTGCAGAAAAGCTGGCACTTGCTGGCTGGTAAAACAGCTGGAGGGAGGCAGGAAATGACAGAAGATAAAATCCCAGTGGCTGCAGCAGACAACCGTGATGGGCCGTCAAGGAGCTGATGCCGTTTGAGGCCAGCCTCCTTTTCTAGTCATTGATTTTGGAGGCTGGCCTCAAACACTCTGTGTAGCTGAAGATGACCTTGAACTCCTGATCCTTCGGCCTCCACTCCGGAGTGGTAGGACTGTCACATGTGTTCCCTGCTGTGCTGGGGATAGACTCCAAGGCTTCAACGATGTCCAGGCAAGCCGTCTAGACTGCTGCTACTCAACTATCCCTATTTTACGACAAAGAAAGCACCTGAAGGCGAGTGCCCCGCTTCCGCCCTCTGCTTCTTGCATGAGCCACTGCAAGGGAGGAGATGGAGTTGTCAGCTGTCCAGCGGGGAGGGTTTCACAGGAGTGTCAAACACTGAGCCACACTGCCTGCCCCATGTCACCGGTCCATCAAGGCTAGGGTGTGCCATCGCCAGAACCTCCACCTACTCCTTACCAGCTTGGCCCCTTCTGACTGACACCAAGATCTAACAGCCATCACCTTTGCCACCACTGGATCGCGTCACTGCTGACGTCACCACTGCTGCCACCCTGATTGTTCCCATTATGTCCCTTCACAGCAGCGGTGGTATCCAGCTGGCCGTGAGGTCACTTCCTGGCTGTGGCACTCACATGTAATTGCTTAATGAGATGGTTGTGCCCCAGCACGCTACTTACCTGCGCTCCGTGGGAATCGTCACAGGCTCTGGGCTCAGTGGCTGTGACTATGACTTCAAGGATCCCAAGAGCCCCCAGGAGGTCATTCTGTCTATCCTCCTGCCTCACTATCACTTTGTTTTTGTAGTGGAGAAAAACAACATCCTGGGACAGTTCAAGAGTGCTAGCAGAAGCCGGTCCTGGTGGCTCATGTCTGTAATCCTGGCACTTGTGAGGCAGAGGCAGGAGGATTACTGTGAGTTCCAGGCTACCTTAGCTTATATGACCCTGTCTCAAAAACTAAAACCAAAGCTAAAACAACAAACAACGAGTAATGTTGAGTTTTCTAGTCCAGCAAGTGACCCTCACCTTGAAACCAGAAACCCAGCCTCAGTTAGGTCATCTGTAAGATGGGGACTCAAAGAACTGTCATACAGGGTAATAGGGGTCTTTTGGAGACGTAAGTGAAGAACCTGGCCGTGTCTGGTGCCAAGAAGCCCTCAGGTAGAGTCTGCTTCTGTAACTTCTGTAATTTTTTTTTTTTTTTTTTTTTTTTTTTTTTGTCAAACATTCAGATTTTGACTTGGTTTGTTTTTGAGACAAAGTCTCACAAGGTAGCCCTGGGTGTCCTGGAACTCACTCTGTGGACCAAGCTGGCCTAGAACTCACAGAGATCCACCTGCCTCTGCCTCCCACTCTGGGACTAAGGGAGTGTGCCACCATGCAGACAGGCTAAAATTTATTTTAATTAATTAATTTTAAATTTTGATTTAACTCTAGTCTAGTTCTAAACTCGGACTCTTAACATTGACCAGCAGGTACCTCCTCCTCTCTGACCTGTGACCCTGTCCTTCCTGTCCTGCCCAGGCGGAGACTCGGAAGAAAGGACTGCCGACCCTTGCAAGACAAGGCAGAAAAGCTCTTTAGAAAATCCTGCTTCACAGATGAGTCTGTCAGATATGCTAGGCCTGTAGGCTGAAGATAGGGTGCCCCAACGTTGCAGAGGAACTTTGGGTGACTGTCCAGGCAGCCAGATGTCTCTGTCATTCTAGATTTTTGGAAGTTGCTTACAATGCATTTCCTGTTTACTCAGGTGATATTATATCCTTCTGGGGTCTTTGATGTAGTTGAAGACTAGATAGAATATTTTCTTTAACTTTGCCAAATATAAATAGACTAGATGTTATAACTGTAATTCCTGCTTGATTACTGTTCTATTGTATGTAATTTTATTATGTTAAAGTTAAAACCTTCCTTTTTGATTAGACAGAAAAGGGGAAGTGCTGTGGGATGTCTTTCTGTATGCTGTGAATATGTGTTGCTCTGACTGGTTGATGAATAAAGCTGTATTGACTTATGGCAAGGCAGCCTAGAGGCAGGTGGAAATACAAGCAGATAGACAGGAAGAAGAGAGGAGAGGAGGGAGAGATGCCAGCCTGCCGCCCAAGGAACAACATGCCAGCAGACTGGTAAAGCCATGGAACACATGGCAAAACATAGATTAATAGAAATGGGTTAATTTAAGATGTAAGAGCTAGCAAACAAGAAGCTTGAGCCATAGGCCATCCAGTTCATAATTAATATAAGCCTCTGTGTGTTTACTTGGGTCTGAGCAGCTGCAGGTCCGAGCAGGACACAGGAAAGCTTACAGCTACAAGCATATGCATGGAAGAGAGCCTCCAGAAGTCACTGAGACAAACTGTTCCTTTTCTTGGAACAGTTTCCCTTGTCCAGGCCTCCCAGCTCTCCCAGTCAGGAAGTCCTTCCTGTTGTCTGACTTGAATGTGGGCTGAAGCAGCAGTTTCCAGGGAGGAAGCTCCTCAGGGGGACGTCTTGTGAAAGGGGCCTCAGGAGACTGGGTTGTGGGATGTCAGGGCTTATAGGGGTGAACCCGGGCACTCAAGGAGTGGAGAGGGGTTCCAGACATCGGCACAAGGGCAGGAAGGACACTGGGGGATGCCACATGGTTGGCTGTTCCACAGAGGTCCCGGTTTCCAACCCCTCCTTGACTACCCAGTGGAGTCGCAGATCTCATGAGCCTCCCCTCCCTTGAGCAAGCCTCGCCCAGGCAGCTCTGGACTTCTGTCCTCTCTGTGCTCTTGGACCTCGTCTACCTGTCCCCACAGGCGGTTCCTGAGGTCCTAAAGCACCCCTCTCTGACTCCCCACGCTCTTTGCTCTCTTACGTCTCTCCCCTGGTCCTGGAGACTCTTTGGGAGCTGATACTAGACCCATGGCCTGGGCATGTCCCAAGCCGACCTCATCTTCTCTCTCTAACTTGGTCTCCATCTTGGCCAGGGGCCCCAACCACAAAGGAAGCAGAGAGTCTCCTGAGAGCAGTCCCTTTCCCATCTACCCCCTGCCCCAGGCTTCTGACATTCAGTGGGTGGCCACTGTGTACCAGGATGAGTAGCATGCACAGCTGAGGCTGACCAGGGCGGTTCCTCGACGCGCATGATTTCCATGAACAGAGAGCTTTGCAATAAGTCTACAAAGTGTGTCCAACATGTGGCCCTGGGGCCACATATGTCCCAGGATAGCTATGAACGTGTCCTAACCCATCTGTAGATGACAATAGATTGTCATAATTTCAAAAGACTGTTCCTCCCCCTCCACGCCCTGGTAGTCTTTCTTAAGGTTTGCAGGCCTGGCTTCTATCTCTCCACTGGGGTCCCGACTGAGGGCCATTTCAACCTCACGGTTCCTGCTATGGGGGCTCCTCTCCAGTTTCACCCTCCCTGCAGGGATCCCTGGGCACAGGCACAGGCTCTGGAGGAACATCTGGCCCCCTGTGGGTCCGGCACCGCCTTTTAGTGTGTAGAGGCCTGGCACCCACCGGAAGAAGATTCCTCAAGGCACCAACTTCCTGGTTTCTGCCCCTTCCCTTTCATTTCCTCAGCCAGCACCTCAGGCACAGGCTTCATCCTGCAGCAAACCTCCCAAGTTTCGCTGTGGTCTCTCCCCTCTCCCCTCAGCACAGCTCTTCTCCCACTTGAAAATAAAATATAGGCTAGATGTGGTGGCGCACGCCTTTAATCCCAGCACTTGGGAGGCAGAGGTAAGTGGATCTCTGTGAGTTCAAGGCCAGCCTGGTCTACAGAGTGAGTCCCAGGACAGCCAGGAAGGACTGCACAGTGAGACCCTGTCTCAAAATAAAGTAAAATAAAATAAAAAAATAAAAAGTGTGTATAACTTGCATGCGTACATATTCATGAGTGTTCATATTTCTACATGGATGTCATGGTGTGCATGGGGAGGTCAGATCTGAGCACCTCAGGTGTTGGCCCCCGACTCCCACTTTATTTGAGGCGGGGTCTCTGGTTCACCACTGCTACAACGAGGCTAGCTGGGCCTTGAGCTCCCAGGAATTCTCCTGTCTCTGTCCCCTATCTCACCACGGGAGCACTGAGATTCCAGATGTGTGCCACAGCCTCTGGTCCTCTGCGGATTCTGGGAACCTGACCTCCAGGCATAAGTACCTTATCTCTCAGCTGTCTCCACAACCCTTCTTTCCCCGGGAACACCAAGCTGATGGGCCGCCTCCCAACGGAAGCCCCTCAAGGCACTGAATAGATTTGAGGATAGACTAGGCTCCCGACTCCTGGTACGCGGCCCTTCTTAGCTGGTTTCTGGCACCTCTGGCACCGTCATTCCCAACCCTCCCTCCCCGACCTGTTCCCTCTACCTGCAAGGCTCTTTCTCAGCCTTTACAATTCAGCTCAGTGTCCCTTTCTCAGGACTAGGGCATGCCCTCTTCCCTAAAGACGGTATGGCTGATAAGTGGGGAGGCTCAGAGGCCTCATGCCTTGCCTTAGTTTGGGTCAACTCTAGACCGGCCCTCAAGCTCTTCAAAGAATCTATGTAAAAACCTGAAACTCAGTGATGGAGGTCTGCTTCCTGCTCCCGGGGGGCTTCCTGCCCTGTTCCCCGGGGTTTCCTGTCCTGTCCTCCACAGCGCTCACCTTAGCATGGCCTTCATTTGGTCACTGGGTCACTTTACAGGACCCTCCTGTGTCCAGGTGTGCTCAAGCTCTGGCCCATTAGCACACAGGAGACAACAGGACCTGGGTGCGGCTGTGGCCGCCAGCAACGGTACAATCTGAACCCCAGAGGGAGCCGAAACTTAGAGCAGCGATGGAAAACAGTAGGCATGGGTGCCCAGGCTGGTGCCCGGGGGAGGGTACAGGACACCCTGCCCCACCCCCAGGAGCCGCAAAGGGGGGGGACACAGAGCTCCAAGCAGGTTCACCTCCTTCCTGCAGACCTTTCTGGAGGGCAGCTGATGGGCTCTCTGATGGAGCGCGCTCTCCTCTCCTGCCTCGCCCACTGGGCCCGGTCCCTTCATCTCACCTCACCAGGGACTTCAGGCAGGAGCCTGGCTGCTGTGAGATTCGGGGCCTCTAAGCTGCAATGGGGTGAGGGCTCTCCAGCTGGGCAGGCTAGCTGAGATTAAACTTGGACCCTTCAGAGCGTCTCTCTGGGACTGTCTCTGGTTTTCTTCACCCGCACTTTGCCTAATTTCTTCCTTCCTTCCTTCCTTCCTTCCTTCCTTCCTTCCTTCCTCCCTCCCTCCCTCCCTCCCTCCCTTTCTTTCTTTCTTCCCTCCCTCCCTCCTTTCTCTCTCTCTCTCTCTCTCTCTCTCTCTCTCTCTCTCTCTCTCTCTGTCTCTCTCTCTTCCTTTCTTTCTTTCTTTTCTTTTTTTTTTGGGGGGGGCGAGCGGGCGGGAGTTGAGACAGGGTTTCTCTGTGTAGCCCTGGCTGTCCTGAAATTCACGCTGTAGACCAGGCTGGCCTCGAACCCAGAGAGCCACCTGCCTCTGCCTCCAGAGTTCTGGGATCAAATGGTATGCTGCCACCACCCTGCTCTGTGCTTAATTTCTATGTGTTACGTGTGCCTATCAGCCCTCTGGGGTGGGGACAGGGCCTGCCATGCTCTCCAGGAGAGGGTGGGAACCCGGCCCCATTGCTGGCTTCACTCGGGAAGCCTGAGGACAGGAGTGGAGGATGAGTGGAGGCGAGCCCAGCGGGGTGGCTGCGGCTGTGCCTCGGTTCCTAGAGCGCTTGCCTAGTGCGCACAAAGCCCCGGTTCGATGCCCAGCACACCCTAAACCAAGCATGGAGGCTCACACCTGTAACCCCAGCCTCTGGGGGGTGGAGGCGACAGGGTCAGGAATTCAAGTTCATCGTCTACGAAGCAAGTTTCCGGCCAGCCTGAGACCCTGGTTCCAAAAGACAGAGAACCAAACCACATAGACAAAAATACCTGCAGGAGTGGTTGCCCAAGAACCACCGTCCGCACAGCCGGGTGTGGCCAGGCTGGGTCTGACCCGAGGGGCCACCTCCCATCCTGTCTGCCGCCGCTCTCCAGGATCACGAGACTCGGTAAGACTGAATAGCAATAATAATAATAATAAAATAATAATAACAACAAGGGCAGCGGTTTCACTGCGACCTCTCAGCACTATGGAATCACAAGGTAGGAGCCAGTATCACTCCCACTGTGGACGCTGTGCCCGGGTTTCATCCTTGAGCCAAGATAAATAAATGTGGGGTAGGGACTTCAACCCAGACTGGCCTGAGGTCTCAGTGCCCCAGAGAGTTGGTGTCAGCTTTTTTCTGCCCTTCTCTGCTTCATTTTATTGTCTCGTTGAGGACAACTCTGGGCCCCACAAGCCTTACAAAACCGAGTCACCTCCTCACCCCCTTTCTATTCTCCTTTACGTCGTAGAGGCTTCCTAACCCCTACCTATCCTGCCTCCAGACATCATGCTCAACAACTTTGAGCAGATACCTCCCAGAACCTCAGTTTACCTGTCTGTGAAATGGGCACACTAATCTCTGCCCATTTTGTAGTTAAGGATCATGGATGTCAAATGAGTTGCATTAGAGTGTCAAGGGTTGGGAGAGAGAGAGAGAGAGAGAGAGAGAGTGGGAAATGATGTTGTGACTTGCCCAAGGTCACCTTGAGCTGGCCAGGAGCTAGGTCTCAGCCCTCAGCTCTGGCTGGGCTCTGTGGGTGAGTGAGGGTTAGTGTGAGGGTGGGAGACTGTGTGTTTGTGTGTGGGTGTGAGTGCCAGCCTCCCCCGCCCCCCAGGGCCTCTTGGAGGTCAAGAACAGCTCCCCGTGGCTTCTCATTTTAGGTTTCCATCGTATTAAACAAGAAAGTAAGGAGACGGCGGAGAGCACAGCGCATTTTAAATGTTTACACGTAACAAACGAATGCTTCGAATGGGCACAGAATGTAATGCAGCATAATTGTGCTATTCACGGGATAATTACAGGATTTATAGAAAATATTAATTCCTCTGCGCTGCGGGAGGTGTGGTCGAGGGATGGGACACAAACTCCGAGCTGGCGAC